AGGTTTTTACATGTGTTGTCTCCGATCTTATAAATTTTAAAATATAAAAATAAATATAAATATGTAGAATGTGCTTCTCATGTGAAATTACTTAACATATTGAAAAAGCTGAACGTGACTTTAACTTAAAACCATCCAGTTCACTGGAATTGTATCTTATATAAAGTTTATGTGACAAATAAATGATGGCTGGATGGGCTGGTTGGTTGGCTGACTGATATTGATTAATATAACGTTTACATTTATTGACGCATTATTAATTGTGTCATTATTCAATTGTTAAGATTTTTCTGCTGAAGTAATGCTAAAATTTGGTTTCATACACGTATTACCAATTGAAGCATTCTACCTCACATGTTCTAGGGTTGCCACGCATTTGTTATTTTATCATTTCTTGTGGATGTCTTCTTTTACTTTGCTTTATCCTGTTCCTGTGTGCTGCCACACTGACCCAGTTTCCCCAATGGGATCAGAGTGGGATCTTTGAATAACGCCCCTGCCAGCCTCCTGATCCAAAGTTAACCCCTTCATTTTGCATATAGAGAGGGAGACCTTAAGGCCTCTTTTACACCGCAAGTGTAGCGGGATCACACGTGTATTCACACCAAAACCGAACAGACCTGCGCGCAGCGGCCGCTGCTGTCCTGTCAAAATACAAACCACACCCGAACAGTTGGTGGCGGTAGTGCACCGTGTTTGCAAATCTCCAGTAAACCCCAATGAAGAAGAAGTAAGTTTGGACCCAAAGCCCAGGGTGGACAGGTTCGCGCGCCAGTGATTATTCCAAGGCTTGGAGAATTAATATTTAGCACGACAAATGGGTAAGTAGGCTACATGGAACACGTGCCTGTCAGGTCTGGCTTGGTCAAGGGGGAGATATCTACGGTGGCCGAGAGAGGTCAGAACACACGCAAACTCGTGTTTTTTGTTGAATACCGCGACCATTCGCTCGCGACTCGCGCAAAAAATCAGCGTCTCTTCTATTTTCGAGCTCGCTCGCGAAAGCAGCGCGACTCGAGCGGCGCTTGGAACAGATGCGGTGTGAATTTTCTGACCTGTTAACATGCTGGAAATGGAAATGCAGTAAACAGCGACCGTTCGCGAGCGGTGTAAATGAGGTCTATCAGAGAGAGGCTTTAAGTGATGATATATAATAAAATCATTAACTGCAGCGAGCTGTCAATATTTAGGCTGAATTATATTAGATGCGTCTGTGGTGTGTTGGCTAAGGGGGAGAAAGCAAGAGGGGGTGGTGGTGGTGGTGGGGGGGGGGGGGGGGGAGGGGACAGGTCCTGTCTCATGTGGCAAATGGGCTTTAATTAATAGACAGGCAAGCCTGAAAGCAGCACTAGCACCAGCTAATATGATGAACTCTCATTGTGGCAGTGTCACTGCAAATGTGTCTGATAAGCAGAGGCAGCAGAAGATCAAAGCCTCTAAGCTGCTCACTTTGCTCTACTCGAAAAGTCTGAAACACAGCACGTGAAAACCTATCCTCAGGTCTGCCTCAGGTCAGCATGCCACCACAGCTGCCGCGGGAAAATTACAGCCTCACCAGTTCCATTTATCCAGACATGAAGCTCTCTGAGTCCGTGCCATCCATCACTGCTGTTGTGTTTACACAGTACTGGGAGTTCACATTCACTGTTATTATTCAGAAGCCAGTTTTGAAGGATTTTCAAGGTGAAGGTGACCAAACTTTTCACTTATAAACATTTAGGTGGGGACTAGGCTATATAATACAAAGAATAGCTGTTACTATGGTAGTTTAGGTGTTTTATTTAAGATAAGGGCTGCAGTTTGAAATGTATATTCACACAGATTTTTCATGTGTTTTTCATTTATTTGTTTAGTCATAATTCCAAAGACAAGCATCCATCTGCAGTTTTGTGTTTAATGACTTCAAACTACACATTAAATCCGAGCCACAGTCTAAAATCCCAAAGCTGTTGAGTTTAAAGAGAGGAGAGCAGCAGATGCTCAGATTGGAGAAAAATGAATCAGGGGACATTTGGGATTTTCATTAGATAAATGACTTCAATGTTCAATCAATTATCATAGCAGATTAATGCTTTTCATTGTCATTATTTCTGTTGATACCATTCCTCTATGTTGCACATTGGCTTCCAGCCCCCCTGTCCTTTTTATCAATATATGTCTTTTAAAAATGTGAATTTTTGGTGCGAGGCAGTGGGGGAGAAAGGGGAGGTTAATCCCAGTTTAATACACTGATACACAGCCCAGGACCCAGGCTGTGATGATTGTGTTATCTCAAGCCAACATTTGGGTCTCCCTCAATTTCAACCCGGCAAAATAGCTGGGAGAAAGTGCAGATGGAGTGGAGTAAGTGCGGATGCCCAGGGAAAAGTGTTATTAATAGCTGCAATAGAACTTCCCACTGCCTGTGCTCGATGTAAAGCTGCCTCTCGTCACTTCAACTGGATTTGTTTGAAGTGCTCTTTCCATCCTCACTATCAACTTTTTTTTCTTTCAAGCAGGCTTATTCTGGACTCCAAATATTGACCGTTTTTTTCCCCCTGTAGTCGGTCATGTATATCTTTGGGAAACGGCATATCTACCAAATGCTGCCCTAAAATTTAAGATCATCATTGTAGAGGTTACCTTGCCTATCCACTACACCTGCCTTTACAAATGAAATGCCATTTCCTACTGTATTAAGAAAGAAAATAAACATGTTCACAGTGTATTCTGTAAAATATCATATATATTAACATTAAATTGATCTACTGAATATGATTATAATTTTGCAGCGTTGCCATCTACACTGTAAAAGGAAGGTATTTGTTTTAACTTTGAAAAGTTAGTGTCCAGGCTGACCAGCTGACTGAATTTGAGAGGACGAGTTGAGGTAATTTTGTAATTATTCAATGTGTCAATTAAGTAAATTAGGTCAAACCATATACAATCTGTGATGAGCTTTCATGCAGTTCAAATTTTAGGGCAGCTTTTGGTTGATATGCTAATTATATCAGTCAACTTGAAATTGTAGCCTGGACACTAACTTTTTGAAGTTAAAACAGTTTCTCTTTACAGTGAATCATTTCCAACTAATAACATCTATGATGATTAAATATAAAAAAATAGGATCTACAATCACATTTTGACAAACACTGTCTTGTCAGAGAGATATGATGATATGCATGTACTGTAATATGTGCATGTATGTGGAGTCATCTCTTTTAAATGTTATGTAAGGAAATGCAGTTTGAAGAGTGAGAAGATATTTACTTATTAGATTATTGGTTCATTGTAAAGATTGAATTATAAATGTATTATAATGCATTTTCTTGGATTGTTTTCCATGTGTTGGCTATTTGTAAAATGTTTTGTGTGAATAAGAAAGTTGACTCCTGTGCCTGTAGTGTTTACTTTAGTAGCTTTGATGGAAGATGTTAATATCAACCTCCTCATCCATGTGTTGGTGTCAGTAGCCCACAATCACACTTCTTCCCTTCAGCCTAATACTGCTGCTAAAATACACTCCGGCTCTCCCTGCGATGCTGCCAACATGCCACCAAAAACAATCCCATAACAGTAAATTTAAATTTAAAAATACAATCTAAACAACACGAGAGGAAACCTTAAAATCTCATGAATTTGCGCTGCGGGCATCACACCAAGAAGTGAGCCGCTGAGAGATGAAAGTGAAAAGAAATAAAAGGCTCAATTTAATCTGCTTTAAAGCCCTTCAACAGAATGCATGTGCTTGGAACTGTGAGAGTGAGGGCTGATAGGGGATAAATATATTTCTTACCATGCCTTGGAGCTATTACACCCCTCTCCAACACAGACGCCTATTCAACAGACACCGGTTTCATTACCAGCTGTAATAGGCTAAGTCTTCAAATTATTAAATGCCAGGTTCGGATGACAGAAAGACACTAGCTGATCTTTTGAAGAACATGAAAAGGAGAATAGTTGATAGTGTTTGAAAAAAAAAAATCACCTGTCAAAACAGTGATTAGGAAATAGAGGGAGCTACAGGCCTTAGGTCTGATTAATGAGCAGCAGATTGTGCATGGCAAAATGCTCCAAACACACCAGACCAACAGCAATATGAAGGTTATTCTATAACTGCTGTTCTTTGAGTGATGAAAACTGACCCACAATCACATTTTGTATCTGGCAAGCTCTCAAATCTAAAAAAAAAAGTCTAATAT